GATAGATAGATAGATAGATAGATAGATAGATAGATAGATAGATAGATAGATAGATAGATATAGAGAGGGAGAGGAGGAGAGAGAGAGAGAGAGAATTACATTTGCAATTATAAATTGTATCTATGGCACCCTTGTACACAATACCTGGCACATAGTAAATACCTTATAAATTCTTAATAGATTGTTTTCTTTTTAATCCTTCCTGGGTTCTCTGAAGAATGGAAATATTCAGTTTTGCCCCCAGCTCCTTGAGCCTAAGAGGCCTCAGTGCTTCAGGGGTCTCTTGAGAACTTTAAAGTATTGGAACCAACATCTAGGTTTTCCAAGTGCCGGTGTCCTACAACCTCTGATTGTCAGGATACAATGACCTTTGATATATGCATACCCAGGAGAATAAAAGTGTCATCAAAGACACAGCCATCTTTGACGTTATGACCTAAAGTATCATCATGACCAAAGACATTTTGGTGATGTTTCCTTAAGACTGCTGCCACCATCCCCCTCATAGTTATACTATAACCCACTATGTGAGATCCAACCATAATCCCAAAACATACAAATAATGTAGGAGAACATAAGCCTGGAGCCCTAGGAAGTCCACCCAATTAGTTGACTGCCAAAGTTGTGCTGCTTTGCCACACAGAGGTCTCCCCTGGCATTTTTGCTTTCCTTCAGCCTTCAAACCTGCAATATAAGGACCAGTTTAGAAAGACCAGCCCAGAAACTTGAGTTAATTCTACTGTTATAGGATAACTGCAAGAAGCAAGTCTGCAGCTCAGGTCAGGATTATTAGTGACAGACAAATCCTTCCTTCCACAGATTATTCACCCTACCTTTCTGATCATGGTACTATTAGCCCACCTACTCTACCTCCAACCCATCTTCCTCCCTACCCTTTCCTAGGAGGGTGTATGTGATTGAATTTCCTTACATGGGCCTGAAACATATTAGCTCATATCAGCAAGGGCATTGACCTCATTGCTCCATTTTGGCATGTCCTCTGGTTGCCAAGGTCTTGGCACCTGTCTGCTGGCCAGCCACCTTTACTTGGACCCACTAATCCACACAGCTAAGTTATACCTATAAATGCATCCATGCCCAGCATTTTTCTCATGGCTTCTCATTCTTGCTTTTCTCTTGAAGAATTCGTCCATGCTAATGGCCCCTTATGGCCTTCAAGGTCCTGCCAGGAGGGGCAGACTGCTAACTCCCAAACTTCTTTCTTTAATTTCCCTGCCTGATCAAAGACTTGAATCTCACAGCCCTGTAGATAATATCCCTGGGCTCTCCTCTTCATGGCAAGGTAGACTCTGGTTGGCTGCTATCCCCAACTTCTCTTGACTCCAAGTTGTAACTGCTAACAATGGAGTTTGGGGAGGAGTTAGAGCATAAGTTCCCAAAGTGGGTGATACCACCCCCTGGGGTCTCTGGAGTGATGGGGAGTGGTAGTAGCTTTGGGTGCAATTGGGGAGCATTGAATAAAAATAAGGGGGTGGGGAAGCATAAGGAATGAAGATAAGAAAAATTTTTTAAAACTGTACCTGTTTCATCTGTTGTATAACAGAATTAAAGTCATAGTGATTACATTATTTTCCAAATAAAAACACAAAATTCAAGTTATAACTTATCAGTGGTCAAGTCTGCTGATAAATCTTAACAAGCAAGTGTTGGCAGGAGAGCATGTTGTGCATTGTTGGGAAGTCTGGCATACACTGGCAAGAATATGTGCATGTAATGACTTGTTTACAATATGATACTATATGGCCAGATGATGCAATATTGAGTCATCAAAATTTCAACGCAGTAAAAAACCCACAAATTTACAATGAATTATTAAATTTAAGATGCATCATTTTTTAAAAATAGATTTTATATTTTTGAAATGATGCAAATTTTTAAAAAACATTGAAAGGTTAAATAAAGTAGATTTCCAGGGGGGCACTGAGTAATTTTTTGGAAGGGAGTGGTAGGCCAAACAAGTTTGGCCTCAGAGTCAGAGTCTAACCTCTGAGTTAGAGACTTGCCAAGCCCTAGTCAAAGCAGGGGTTTTGCTCCTTCCCCGAGTCCTTGCAGCCCTACAACTATTTCTCAGGAGTCCATGTCGACCATGACCCAAATGATTCTCCCACCCTTCCATCTTCTGGAGCAGTGGAATGTTTTCTTGACATCCATCCCTCCTAGAAAGCCCTCCTTTCAGCTGTGACCACAAGCTGGAGGAAGCTTATTTTCTAAAAAGGGCACACTTCACTTTCTTGCTTACCATAGCTGATATAATTTCCCAGAATTGAGTGTAGTCTGTGCCCTGGCCCCTGGCCCCTGGCCCCTGGCCCAATCATGTGCAATCATACCCCAAGGGAATCCTTTCCCTGTGACCAGCAGGTTTCCTACTCCTTATTTCCCTCCCCCGACACACTACCAGGTCAGACTAGGGCTCCCCACACTGCAAACACCAGCCCTGGTAAGCTTAGAATAGCAAGTGTTCCCTCTGGCTGGTCTCTCTTTGCCTAGTCTTAGGGTTCCTCTTACTTCCTAGGATTCCTCTCCTATAGTCCCTAGCACAGGCTCGCCAGCACTGCTGGCCCAAATGATAAAGATTGCCATATTGGAAACATAGTTCATAGTGAGCTGGACACTGTCCCCTTTAGAGGGAAGTCATTTCTGACTAACTGGAGCCCCAGCTGCACAGGCTTGGAACTCTCCAGCTTCCCAGGGGCTTGGTGTATTCAGGATGATCCCAAATCCGCCCTCTCATCCTGTCTTCCAGCCAGTTAGATGGTCATGTCCGATAGAGCTGCCAATTCTCTAAGCACAGGCAATCCAGTTACCTTTACACAGTGCCTCCCTGCAAGCCTATGAAGCTGAGCTCTCAACCATGACCCTCCACTCCCAACTCCATGAATCTCACTAGCTGTCCCCATGCCTGGAATGTTCTCCCTCCTCATCTCCGCTTCCTGTCTTCCCACCATCTGTAAGAAGCCTTTCCTGACCCCCCCCTTAATGCCTAAGTCTTCCCTCTGTTAATTACCTCCTATTTATCCTATAAAGTATCTTTTTTTGTAAATCATTGTTTGCATGTTGTCCCTCCCATTAGACTGGGAGCTCCTTGAGGGCAGGGACTATTTTTTGCCTTTCTTTGTATCTCCAAAGCTTAACACAGTGCCTGGCACGAAGTAGGCACTTAATAGATTGTTGCTGACTTGACTTGAATAGTGCAAGTATTGTTATCCCTATTTTACAGATGGAGAAAGTGAGGCTCAGAGTGAGCAAAAGGTTTGCCCAAAGCCATACAGCCCAGAGCGTCAGAGTCAGCTTTCCTAACTGGGGGCCCAGGGCTCTGTTCCCTGTGCCATACAACACAGCTGCTATAACTTCCCCAGAACTTTGTCCCAAGACAAAATCAGAACAGCATGTGCTGGAGACATCCTAAGTGCTGAGGAATTCATGCATTGATTCATTCATTCCCCTTCTGGCCTTCCCACCCCATCCCCATGGTCTCAGCCCTTTCTCAAAAGTATCCACTATTGGTGTTTTCGTTGATTGGCATGTTTTGTTTTCAAAGAAATTATGGTTACAAAATCAGGAAGACCTGGGTTTGAATCCCACCTTAAACACTTACTGTGTGACCCTGGGCAAGTGATTCAACTTTCCTAGGTGTCCTCATATGTAAAATCAGGATAAGAAGAGCACCTACCTCACAACATGATCACAAAGATCAAATAAGAGAATGCAAAAAAAAATAAAATAAAATAAAGGTCTTTGGATTCGAAGGGGTCATGTAAACGCCAGCTGCCATTATGTTTGCCTCTCTGTGCATCTGTCCAGGTAACCAAGGAAACAACTTCCGGATCCACGTCAGCAGTGGACTTCTGATGCGAGGTCCCCGGCCCTTGGACCGAGAACGAAACTCATCCCATGTGCTGGTGGTGGAGGCCTATAATTTTGACCTGGGACCCATGAGGAGCTCTGTCAGGGTAAGATCACCCTGCTCATGAGGAAGGGTCCACGGTGAGGGATAGTGTGGCATAGTGGGTACAGCCTTGGACAGGGAGGTGAGAAGTTCTTGGTTGCTGTGGGAACCTGGGTAAGTCACTTCAGAACCTCAATTTCTTCTCCAATAAAATGGGATAATAATACCCTTAGAGCCTTCCTTACAGGTCTGTAAAGTACTTTACACACTATTTAAATATTATCCATCCCCAAAATAAAGTGTAATACCTATTATAATTATTATTTAGAGACTGACTTTTCTGTAAATTTTTTAAGGTTTTCATAATGCTGCATATACATTATCACATTTGAATCTTACAACAACCCTGCAAAGCAAGCACTCCAAATATTATTATCCCCATTTTACAGATGAATAAACCGAGGCACACAGAGGTTAAGTGACTTGCCTAGGGTCATGCTGCCAATCAGTCGCAGAGGCAAGATTCAAACCGGTATCTTCCTAATTGCAGAATTCCTATTTCTCTATCCATCATGCCATATCGTCTCTCTAAAATATCATGGAGGTCTCATTTATCTGTGACGTTAACACCAGGGCCATGCCATGGGAGTAGCGAGAGGTGAAAGCGAGGGACAAGGGATTGTTGGTGTCGTGGCTGCTAGGTGGTGCCATAGGGCACAAGGCCTGGAGTCAGGAAGACCTGCATTCAAATCTGCTCTCAGACACTCACTAGCTATGTGACCCTGGGAAAATCATTTAACCTCTGTTTGCCTCAGTTTCCTGACCTGTAAAATGGGAGTGATAATAACAGCACGTACCTCCCAGAGTTGTTTTGAGGATCAAATGAGAAAATATTTGTAAAGTGCTTAACACAATGACTGGCTCATGGTAAGCACTATATAAATGGTAGCTATTATTGTTATTGTTCTTATTATTAGGGTTTCTATGTAGAATTGGGCATTCTACTCACTGCCATAACTTCAGCCTTGAATAAAACCCTCTGTTCTGTCTTTGCCTCAGTTTCCCCAACAGTGGGAGGAATGCACTGCGCTCCTCATAAGGGAGCAGAGGGTGGGAGGATGATGAAAATAATCATCAAAGTAAACCAACTGATGTGGGAGGTATCTTTAATGTTCACATGAAATGTACATCCACACCTAAGCCCTTCCAGTCCCCTCCCCAGCTCTCACCTGCCCCTCTTCTCATCAGTTCGAAAGAGACAAAACAATCAACATCCTTTCCCAACAATCAGCCCCAAATCATGATCCCGTGAAACTGAATGGGAGAGAGGCTTCAGGCTAGGCCCCTGAGCGTGAGACTTAACGGAAAGCTTGTACAGTAGCACGGCCCTTTACTGGCCTGGCCCAGGCAGGGCACAAGCTTGGGTGTGTATTGGAAGGAACAAGCCAAGAAGAGGCCACACACCCTTCCTTTGGGTCAAGTGTTGTTAGGTGAATGACAGCCTAGGTCTTCATGCCTTTCCAAGGAAAGCAAGTAGGGATGTGAGCCCTCTATATGATCTAGGATGCACTCATTAGCATTTACAGATTCTCTTTCGTTGCTTAATTCTCTGGAATGAGTAGCCTAGGGTAGTTCTCCTCCTCTTGGAGATGAAAAGAAGGAAGGAAGGAAGGAAGGAAGGAAGGAAGGAAGGAAGGAAGGAAGGAAGGAAGGAAGGAAGGAAGGAAGGAAGGAAGGAAGGAAGGAAGG